CAAGGGGCGGACGTCCCAGGTTCAAATCCAAACTGTGGCTCCCTTCCAACATGTCCCAGAGAGACAGAGAGAGAGAGAGAGAGAGAGAGACAGAGAGAGAGAGAGATGTTGAAAATTGAAAGACTGTGGGATAAACAACAGTCAACATTAAATCAGCAATTCTTTTTGTTCAGTATAAGAGCATTACGTGATGATCTTTAGTTATCTCAGGCTTTTCCATAAAGTTACTGCCTGTTGAGGCAACACTTGCAGACTACTGAGCATATCAGTCATTTCCCAGAAAACACACCCATTGATTAACCCATGGGTGTTTTTACTTGGGATGCACAAATTTGTCTTAAAGACATAGCAATACAACACCAAAATTATCACAACAAACAGCAAACTGGGATACTTATGTAAAACAGATTTAGGATTAATGTCATTCCTTTTCTTGTTATATCTGTCCTTGTCCTTTGACAAGTCAAAATGCTTGATGTTAAAAAAGATGAGACAAGTATAAGAAATTATTAAAAATTGTATATTGTGATATAAAACTTCTATATTGTTTACAATTCATATCAGCCAGTGGACACAGCGAAGCTCAATTATAGCCTAGTTATCCCAAATAAAAATCCCATCAGGCTCCTGGAGTTTCACTTTAAGTCACAGGGTTAGTCTTAACACATAGACCATTTGGTTAACTTCAAATCAAGTCAGCTGCTGTGCAATAAGCCAACATGAGAGGACAAGACATTAAAGAACAGAATGTGTTTTGTTGACACTTAATATCAGCAACAGAGCCGCTGGAAATAAAACACAAGCACACTTCAGCTGCTTGTTCAGTGCTCATCCTCTTCTCAGTCTCACCTCCTGTCTCTGTCTCTGTCTCACCTCCTGTCTCTGTCTCAGTCTCACCTCCTGTCTCTGTCTCAGTCTCACCTCCTGTCTCTGTCTCAGTCTCACCTCCTGTCTCTGTCTCAGTCTCACCTCCTGTCTCTGTCTCACCTCCTGTCTCTGTCTCAGTCTCACCTCCTGTCTCTGTCTCACCTCCTGTCTCTGTCTCTGACTCACCTCCTGTCTCTGTCTCTGTCTCAGTCTCACCTCCTGTCTCTGTCTGTCTCACCTCCTACCTCCTGTCTCTGTCTCACCTCCTGTCTCTGTCTCTGTCTCACCTCCTGTCTCCTGTCTCTGTCTCACTCCTGTCTCTGTCTCACCTCCTGTCTCTGTCTCTGTCTCACCTCCTGTCTCTGTCTCGCCTCCTACCTCCTGTCTCTGTCTCACCTCCTGTCTGTCTCTGTCTCACCTCCTGTCTCTGTCTCACCTCCTGTCTGTCTCTGTCTCTGTCTCACCTCCTGTCTCTGTCTCACCTCCTGTCTGTCTCTGTCTCACCTCCTGTCTCTGTCTCACCTCCTGTCTGTCTCTGTCTCTGTCTCACCTCCTGTCTCTGTCTCACCTCCTGTCTCTGTCTCAATCTCTGTCTGTCTCACCTCCTGTCTCTGTCTCACCTCCTGTCTCTGTCTCAGTCTCACCTCCTGTCTCTGTCTCACCTCCTGTCTGTCTCTGTCTCACCTCCTGTCTCTGTCTCACCTCCTGTCTGTCTCACCTCCTGTCTCTGTCTCACCTCCTGTCTGTCTCTGTCTCTGTCTCACCTCCTGTCTCTGTCTCAGTCTCACCTCCTGTCTCTGTCTCTGTCTCACCTCCTGTCTGTCTCTGTCTCACCTCCTGTCTCTGTCTCACCTCCTGTCTCTGTCTCTGTCTCACCTCCTGTCTCTGTCTCACCTCCTGTCTCTGTCTCAATCTCTGTCTGTCTCACCTCCTGTCTCTGTCTCACCTCCTGTCTCTGTCTCACCTCCTGTCTGACTCGTTCTCACCTCCTGTCTCTGTCTCACCTCCTACCTCCTGTCTCACCTCCTGTCTGTCTCTGTCTCTGTCTCAGTCTCACCTCCTGTCTGTCTCTGTCTCAATCTCTGTCTCACCTCCTGTCTCTGTCTCAGTCTCACCTCCTGTCTCTGTCTCACCTCCTGTCTCTGTCTCAATCTCACCTCCTGTCTCTGTCTCACCTCCTCCTGTCTCTGTCTCACCTCCTGTCTCTGTCTCAATCTCACCTCCTGTCTCTGTCTCTGTCTCACCTCCTGTCTCTGTCTCACCTCCTGTCTCTGTCTCACCTCCTGTCTCTGTCTCAATCTCACCTCCTGTCTCTGTCTCACCTCCTGTCTCTGTCTCTGTCTCACCTCCTGTCTCTGTCTCTGTCTCACCTCCTGTCTCTGTCTCTGTCTCTAGATCGAGACTTGCTCCGGCGTGTGGACCTCCGGCTCTTGCTGCAGGTCGCCCTGCTCCCGGAGGATGAAGACGAAGACGAAGAGGAGGATGAACGTCGACGCTGTTTTCTCTTTTTCCTGCTCCGACTGCCATCCTCACTGTCTGACGAGCGTCGACCCATGCTGACTGCAAAACAAGACAAGTGTGGAAAGCTGCACAAGAGAACTCTCACAACAACAAATACATCCACAGAGGATTATAAAGATGTGGTTTATGTATAAACTATCTTACAACATGTAACGTTACCGTAGCCTCCCTTCAGTAACAGTGTGGGATCTAAAACAATGCTATAGCCCTAACGACACTGCTATCTCATATGTCTGTTTATTAAAACTGGCAGAAATAAAGAAACCTGACTTCTGTTTAGGCTAGCTAGCAGGCTATCATTGCTAAATCAACTAAGGTTTTGTTGTTGCTAGTTGTTGTGTTGACCGGAGCCTTGTAGAGTCTTAACAGTAAACATGTCTCACTGCACACAGTAGACGTAAACGAAGCAGTGAACGAAGTAAACACGACAACAATGCTTGAAAGGAGAATCCCGCTCCTCACCTTTAAATCGCTGTGAAGCTCCACAACTCAGCCACGCACTGTACAAGAAGACTCTACTCATCGAGCGAGAGAGCATCGATCGAGTCCAGACAGAGAGTAGTCAAGCACAGAGCAGTCGATCACGGACCTGCTCTCATCTGGTGCCATCAAAGGATTGAAATAGTTTGTTTTAATAAATATCTTCAGCCGTAACTCCACGTCTGCATTAATTGTTATTGCCCCTAAAATAAATTCTAAAACATTTAATAATAGTTTTAATTTAATGTAACCAACAGCAACCTAACTTGAGAAGTTTTATTTATTGGTTCAAGTGCGTAGGCCTATTGATTCAAACAAATCAATAGCGATGCTATATTTATGACTGCATGACTGATGTCGGTAACTGAAGAGAGTAAAAAAAAAAAAAAAAACTTTTCAAAATTAAACATTTTAGTCTATTATTCCATCTCATACTTACAGGCTACTCTTTAATAAAAGTATTGGTCGATCATCAATGTAGGATATTTTCTTTTCTTATTTCACCTTGTGTTATGTACGTGTCATTTTGCAATTTCAATATCCAGTGTATTATTATTTAATTTTAATCAATGGAGTATTATATTTATTCATGTAAGAGACAAAGGAATAGTTTTGATTCAACAATACCACACAAGTAGGCTATAACATTAAGCCTACGACATAATTTCACGTAGGTTTTCAATGATATATTGCACGAGGTCAATTCTCTTTTACAGCCAAACATTTAACACCATGCATACACACAGATAGAGCTGCAAAGGGAGACAGCTGATCCAAACTATTCACAACAAACTATATTCATATAAACTCGCAGATTAGAATAAAATTTTAAAAAAAACACACATAACGGGACTGAGGGTGGAACGACCAATTTCACTGACAACATTAATAGGTCAATGAATCAATAAACGTGCATTAGAATGGCTGATAGAAACAAGATAATGGGGGGGGGGGTTACTGCAAATAGACACAAGAGGCTTTCTTATCAGTGCGATTGGGAATTCATCTTGCTTTGAGATACAGCAGGAATAATCGTAATTAATGCCTAAGGTTCAAGCTGAAACACTGTTAATATTTAATTAGGGGAATTGTTGAAGCTCTTGTGTGGAAACGGGGCTTTATAAAGATTATCAATAAACACGCTTAATTTTTCATCAAATTAATTCAGACGTTTTCAGAATCCCACTGTATCCTGTTTCTTGTATGCACAGGCTATACGTCGCCTCTTCTTCCTCGTTTAATTGCTCTCTCTCTCTCTCTCTCTCTCTCTCTCTCTCTCTCTCTCTCCCTCTGCTGTGTTCACGTTACCTTCACTGCAACTCCAACATTGTTTATTTATTTTTGCAAATATAGGCGCTGATTTCATCGGGGGGGAAAAAAAGGCGAGTTGAAAAACGTTACTAATTAGTGGGCCCAATGGCAAAACATCGCAAGGGGCATGATAATGAAGCGTTTAGCTGCTATTTAACATCCTAATGGTTTAAAAAGTCCGCTGAGAATTAATATTACAAGATAAAGTCTCACTAATGATGACAATTTCAAATACATAATTGCAGATTAGGAACGTAAATAAACGCTGCATGAAAACTGTGTCTCACAGGTTCCCCAAAACTTTGATGCAAGGATTAGTTCACATATTTTCATAGCGCCCGACATGTTTTTTATTTTTTTTTATCATTATTATTATTATGATAATTTCGTTATCATATTTTAACATTGATGAACACTTTTATTTATTTAATATTTCTGATATTACATGTCAAAATAAAAGCCTGAATGTCGACACATCAACGACACCGAAAACTCAAAAAAACCAGGCTAAAAGCCAACTGTGTTTAAACTGGGGTTAAGCCCAGTATGTTCGCTGAAGCAGCTCCTTCTCCCTGCTTCTGTTCCTCTTCCTCTCAGCTGGTCCTTCTTTTTTTTCTTTTTTTTTGGGGGGCTACATCTTTTTCTCTCCGTGTCATCCTTGTGACTTATTTTCCCCAAGATCACAGAGATATACTGAGAGGAAGGACTCCTCATCCATGTGCTTCTCTATCTCTCCCTCTCTCTTGTCATTTTCAGACTTTTTAAGCCACACCCCTGCAGAGAGAGAGAGAGAGAGAGAGAGAGAGAGAGAGAGAGATCCATGAGCATCTCCCGGGTGTTTAAAAAACTACCTCAGGACAATAGCAGCGAATGAGCGCTTAATTAAATTAATTAGTCCTTCTTGTCAATCTCAGATTAATGGCCAATAGCGACGATGCTGCCTAATGTTTTTTCTACTCCTCTTCCTCTCCCTCTCTCTCTCCTGTATGAGTGAAGAAGGGGAAGGGGGGCTCATCCCGGCATCCTGAGGGGAGGTAATTTGCACGGATCAAGGGGGCAAGGCGCCGCAAAGTATAAATACTGTGACTTCAATAGAGGAGCACCAGCAGGTTCCCAACTCCGCTACCAAAGGAGGAGGAATTGGCTGAGAAGATCGATTCTTTCTATATTTTTTTTTTACCTCTTCCCAGAGTTGGCACCAGAAGCAGCAGCAGCATCATCATCATCATTTTCCAAAGTGGGGGTCGACTTTAAACCGAGCCACACCATTGATGTCTTAAGCTGTCGTGGAGCAAAGAGTGTGTGACTGAGAGTGTGTGTGTGAGGTGTGTGTTTCTCAAAGAGGAGAGTGCAGGCAGGGATGGAAGAGCTCACCGCGTTCGTGTCTAAGTCTTTCGATCAGAAAGTAAAGGAGAAGAAGGAAGTGATAACCTACAGGGAGGTGTTGGAGACCGGTTCCACGCGAGCAGGGAGCAGGGAGTCTTTATCGGGGGAGCCCGGGAGTCGAGAGGAGGCAGCGGCAGGAATCACCCGGAACGTGGCGCTCTCGCCGGGCAGGGAAACGGACATGCTCGGCCCGGAGAGGATCAGGGACGCCGGGAGCCCCAAACTCATAGACGGTAGGAGAGCATGGTGTTTTTTTTTTTTTTTTACACAGTCTGCAAAAACAGAGAGGAGAAACAGACTCAGAGGAAAAGGAAGTCTGCAACAGCACAGTTTTTATTTGCAAAATAGAGTAAAACATCTTTTGGGCTTCTAGTTACGATCCAAAAGAAACTGTAGAATTAAGCAGCCCAATATTATCGATCTGAGAGTATGTGGCTACAATATCGAGCTTTTCTTTATCACTGAAAAACGATATATATTTTTTTTATTTCTGTTCGTGCTAGTTGTTTGCTCTGTGCACCGTCAAAGTCGGAATTCTCACAAGGTTTTTTTTATTTTTTAGAATGGAATATTAATATTTTAGTTATTAATAAATGTTTGCAGCTGAGTGAAGCTTGTGGTCCAATTTGAAAATTTCAATTCTTAGATTTTTTGCGTCATAAAATCTCTGACCAAGAACTTTTATAAACAACAAGGCCTTAAGCAAACTCATATCCATTCTTTCCCACATCATAAAAGTGAAGTCAAAAAATCTCTCATATTGTATAGCTCGAGTTGAATAAAACTATCACATGTGGACCAACTTTGAGTCATTTCGAATAACGCCTCAATTAAGCCTTTACGTGTTAATAAAAGAATTGAGATGTTTTTATCACAACCCATCGTCAGCCATCTTTATATATATCTGCTGAGTAGAATTGATTTGTTTAAACGAAAATAGGTGGAAATCACGACCTGTCATTTCTGCAGCTCCTCGGTAGACATTAGATGTCTGTTTCAGGACTGTAGACACATCAGCTGAACCAGCAGATGGCTTGAATACAAAACTGATGATCTATAACAAATATACAAAATACAGTATAGAAAGATTAGTCCACTGTGCTCTTCCTTTATTTGTTGCTCTTTATGCAAAACAATAATAATAGCAAGTAGAAATATAGGCCTAGTTTATTGAAGTAACGTTAACTACTATAAAACGTGAAATGATCAATAATTGCTCATTTGAAAAAAATAATAACAACTGTGTTCAATTCATTTTTTTCTATTTTAATACAAATAAAAGAGAAACACAGCCTGTGCACTGTGTACTATTCACTGAAGAAAAGAACCTGGGTAAAACGTGACAGCATGCAAGCAGGATCAGATCTATATGTCAGAGTTTGGTTGTGTTGTGTTCGTCCTGGGCAGCAGCGTGGTTAAAAGCGGAACAGATACAAGCGTGTATCAGACATCCAACAGTGGGCACATGCAGCGTTGCATATTTATAAGCGGTAAATAATTAAAGAGCTTTATGTAGCTCTACAAAACATCCGAGCTTTGATAGCTTGCTGCTCTTTTAGGGCTGGCAGGGCATGTATTGCTTTCTTTCTTTATTATCAGAGGTTTTATTTCTGTTTGCTGTGGATCGATAACAATTTCTCGCACAGTTTGTAGCAGGGATGTAGTGCACGCTTTTTGTTGGATTACAGACTTTGGCAGCCTGTTGGTTTGTTTTATTTCACAGTAGGCCTAGGAAAGACACGATTTAGCATTCTGAGTGAGGTGGTTTATAGGCTATAATAATAAACCGTATTGTCTAGAGTTAAATATATGAAAAGGTCCATTAGCCTTGATTCTGCTCTCTGATGGTCTGCATTACGCACACAGGCACCACGGACGTGAAGGAAAGGAAAGAGGACTCGAAGCCCATAGAGGACGAGACACAGGCTAAAATCAAACAGAGGAGAAGTCGGACTAACTTCACGTTAGAGCAGCTCAATGAGCTGGAGCGGCTCTTCGACGAGACGCACTACCCGGACGCCTTCATGCGCGAGGAGCTGAGCCAGAGGCTGGGACTGTCCGAGGCCCGAGTACAGGTAGGGACTGTCCCTTTAACTGCTGGGGAAAATAAATAAAATAATAAATACAAATAAACGGAATGATAATGAAACAATGTCAAAATTATGAATATTGTAAAAAATAAATAAAAAAATAGGCTAATTCTAAAAATAACAACAGTGAGGCACATGGCATTTTTAAATGTATAAACTAACTAACTAATAATCATAACAATACATATCAACATTATTAATAAAACTATTAGTATATGTCGTGTTGACGACCATGTCAGCATGGTATGAGTGTAAAATGTTGTTATTATTATTATAACAATAATAATAATAATAATAATAATATTAATAATAATAATAAACAGACTCTCATGTTTGCCTCTTTAAAGCCTGAATTTGTGAAGTTGTTCATAGAATCCCTATGGTTTTAAAGTTTTTAATAATTTGAAGATTTTCAAGAGAAGGGAAGCCGAGTTAATTATTTCCATAATATATTTTAGATTGTTTTTTTTCTGCACAGTATGTTTTTTTTATTTTTATTGTTATTATTCAATCCGTGTCTTAATTAGGCCTTGCTCGCTTGTGTCACGCGACTCGTTTTAATCTTGATCGTCCGAGTCAACAGCAACAAATAAGCCTCCAAATATTTGCCTTCAGTTTCATGGTGTATGTTACTACAATTCTCTTGTTTGTGAGAGTTGCTGTCGTTTTTCATGGGGACACACCATCTGCGCAGAAACCCAGTAAGGCTTCAGGGAAGGGGAGGCGGGGGAGAGAGGGGGGGGCGGAGGGGGGGGGGCATGTCTTGTGTAACAGGAGCAGGGAGGGGGGCAATGACTATACACAACTCCAATCTTTTCATTTATAAAATCTTAAATAATTTCAGACTATTTTATGTTCTCCAGCTCGGGGGAGGACTGAGCATTTGTTTTGAATATGTATATCATTTTGTTTAAACAAAAAAAAAAAAGGGAAAGCATCAAATTAAACCAAAAAGATCCAAAACTCAACCCTCTAAAAAGTTAAAGGCAGCCTTTTTGCAGGGCTCTCCCGTCCTGAACTGGAATCTCCCCAATAAGGCGCATTGTGTCCCGAACAAGGCGCACAGCTCAGGGATTTACATAAATTATGTATTATATTCTACCCAAATCAAGCAGCCCTCTCTTTGCGCCTCTCTTATTTCGTTTTTACCAGTTGCATGCATGGATTATACGTTTATTTTGATTTTTTTTTTTCCCTTACAAAAATCAGTCAATAATAGGAGGGCATTTGCTTTTATCATGGCAATAAATTAGACCTGAAGAATGCACAAAAGCACTTCCGATTGACATGCACTGTGTGGTCAATAAATGAAGCCAGCTGACAGCACAATCGATATGATATTTCACTCAGTGTATATGGACCTAATGTGCGAGAGATTGCAGATTGACATGCTGTTATATTGTGGGCTAATTTAGGCCGAGATGCGAGTTTGTCTGTCTGCTAGATTCAAAGCAGATCCATCGTTTAATCTGCGTTTCAAGGCTTTTTTTTCCTCTGAAAGTGACGCTCGTCGATTTGAACAGAAAGGGAAAATGGAGAAGTGTGCTGTCTTTGAAGCGGCCTTTCTTTCTGCGTGTTATGGCAGTGATTAGACAAAAACTGCGAGGCTATTTAAGCGTTTCCCTGACATGGATTTTGTGCAGATAAGGGTAATTAATTTCAGCGGTCATTTAATGAGAGAGAAAGAGAGAAAGAGGGAGATGCTCTCAGATCGCCTTGCTCTGATGTCCAAAAAAGCGTAATAGCGTTGCTGCTATTCGATATCTGAGAGTCCATTCAACTCTTCGGGGACACTAATCTATAGAAAGATGAAACCGGCGCTGACAAGGTTATTTATTATAGTCCAATAGTGCTGCACATTTCCAACAAGGGGGTGTTTCTATGCTCCTAATAAGCTTTTAATGTCCCCTCATTGTCGTCGATTTGCTACTTTTGGTTCTTGCTCCTCGTCTCTGCTCCATCCCTCCTTTTCCTCTATCTTGTTGTAGACTAAATGAAATAATCCAGATCCGGGGTTAAGCAGTGTCATTAATATTTCAGTGCTCCTCGGGGATATTGTTTTTCTGCGGTTGTTGTCACTTTGAGAGGAATTACACATGGCCTCACAAGCAGCTGCCAATCAGCGGTTCTCTAATTAATTTCTGTCCCTGCAGGTTTGGTTCCAGAATAGGAGAGCCAAATGCAGAAAGCAGGAGAACCAGTTACATAAAGGTAACCTTTTATCTTCATGCATGCTCCCATTAACACAAAACTACACAGGATTACTTCTATTTTATAGTTTTTTTTAATTTCACTGCTCATGCACGAAGCATCTTTCATCTTTACACACTGTGTACGCAAAAAGACACTGTGGTTTGGGATATTCTCCTCTCAATTAGGCTATCGTCTGTGCTTTTTTTTTTTTTCTTCTTCAGGAGTCCTGATTGGAGCAGCCAATCAGTTTGAAGCTTGTCGTGTAGCGCCATATGTCAACGTGGGGGCTCTACGGATGCCATTCCAACAGGCAAGTTACTTTGAAGTGTCTACTCTTAAAACCAGACCAATCCCCGGACTGCTGTCTTGGCACAGGCTCTGCACAAGTGCAATGCAGGGAGGGTAACTAAACTCTAATGACAGTGACAAAAACAATTGTGTGCCAACACAGGGTAGCCTGTACTGACTAATTGGAAAATTCCCTCTATTGTTTTATGGATCATTTGTAAACCCACCATGTAAATAGTCCCAGTGTAGGACAATGAAGAACAAATGTTTCCTTATGTCTCTTTTCTATTACTGTACAAAAAACAGACGATAAACCGCATAAGGGGATTGGTTATTTGAACTGTGCACCTGTTTTTGGGGAGTCTGTGGACGGAGTAGTCATGTGCACAATTTGTTGCATTTAGTGTAAGTGAAGTTTTGTCTTTGCTTTATGCTCGACTGTCCTGTTCTGGGTTTATCATCGTGAATGCCACATATTCCCAAATGCCACAAAGGGCTGAATTGAAATCAGAATTCATGCTATTGATGTACATAAACCAACTCAAATTTGACCTTTGATTCAGGAGAGTTGCAACACACCCAATAATGACCTCATAAAAAGATGGCCTCCAGTGATATTGCTCAATGACACTTCGGCAGAAAAGCAAAGGAGTTCAATCACGAAGTGCAGCTGAGTAATGGCTCTTTTAACCGCGAGGTCACCCCACCTCCTTACATTAGTAAACAGTGATTACATCTAGGACAGTGACACCAGTGAATGACCCTCAGACACACTGCAAAGTTAACGCATGTTCTCCCCCCTTCTCTCCCCACCCGTGCGTCCTGTCCTGTAGGATAGTCATTGCAACGTGCCGCCCTTCTCCTTTCAGGTGCAGGCGCAGCTGCAGCTGGACAGCGCCGTCGCCCACGCGCAGCACCACCTGCACTCCCACCTGGCGGCGCACGCGCCCTACATGATGTTTCCCGCGCCGCCGTTCGGACTGCCCCTGGCGACGCTCGCGGCCGAGTCCGCATCCGCCGCCTCCGTCGTGGCCGCCGCGGCCGCCGCCAAGAACACCAGCAAGAACTCCAGCATCGCCGACCTGAGACTGAAGGCCAAAAAGCACACGGCCGCGCTGGGACTGTGACGCCAGGTGGTCGGGTGGACGCAAGCCGTGCACGCCATGTCTGCCACGTCCGCGCGACTAAGAGATGCTGAACACTTTCAAAGTGAGACACTACAAGGACAAAGTGAGAGAAAAATATCCAAGGACGATATTTATGATTTTTTAAATGAAGGACGACGAGTATAACTATAAAACATATAGGCTATTTATGAGACAAAGAAAAGACAATGAAAGAAAAAGAGACTGTGACGTGATAGCCTACCCATAGGTGATTTTGGACGGAGGGATTGGAACTACTACAGCCACATGGCTGAGGAGGACACCCTGAGGAGGAAGAGGAAGCAGCTGGGACGGTCGATACTTTGTCAAACAAGGCGAACCATTCTGCAGTTGTTTTATTATTATTATATTGTTATTGTTAAGATTTCATTTGAACCTATATAGAGGCTGGCCTCGTTCTAAAAACACGTTCTCTTTAAAAAAAGACAGAGCAGTTAAGAAAAAATGACATTAATTCAAGTTTTTCTCCCTCTACTGTTTCCTGTACAAAATTCAGAAAATGCCCAAGCAGTGTTTGCATTAGTTTGTCCTCATCTCTCTCTCTCTCTCTCTCTCTCTCTCTCTCTCTCTCTCTCTCTCTCTCTCTCTCTCTCTCTCTAAGAAAGGGCAACTCTCACTTGAATGTTTGGCCAACTTGACCTTGTTTGGACCTCCTCTGGTAAAAGGTGAAACTAGACAGAAATGTGAGATTATAATATATGTAGGCTACGCTGAAGATTTTTCGTCAGGATAACCGGATCTAGTGTCCATATAAGGTGGTGATTTGTCCCATTTTAAAGGATGACGTCAGTAATGCCAACTTTAACACAAGCGGAGGAAACAGGAGGACTTTTTCCGGTACGGGCACGTGTAAAATATGTTTATACACAAGAAACATGCATTATTTTTTATTATTTAGTGGCTATAAGAATGCCTTGTGGGGAATTTGTTCATTTTGTATTTTACTTTATTTGCGTGTATTAAAAATATCATGTGCTTTCTGTATGTAATTTTGATGTTTTTATAACAGTGAAAGTGAACCTAACTGAGGCACGGGTTTCTAAGAAAAAAAGAAAAGAATATTCATTAAATTGTTTTACTTTTCCATCACATGTGAAACGTGAATCCATCCAAACAAAATGTTTTTCGTTCCTACAATAAATTAACGAAAGTTTCTTAAATGTGTTGATGTTATCGATTGGCCTTTATCTGATATTATTATTATTATTATTATTATTATTGGGCCTATTATTATTATTGCTGCTACCACTAATCCTTTGAGGGCGATATATATATATATTTTTTTTTTAAATAATTCATGGCAGTAGCTTCAGGTCTTTTGATAACGTCACAGTTGTGACAGGCCCGTTTAGTCAGGAACATGGGTGTGTGTCGCTGCGCTCATGCCAAACCGATGCATTATTCATCATCTGGTTATGGAGCGTTTGAAAAGGAGGGCTGGTAATTTCCAGTACAAGCTAGAAAAAGTGTCAGATAAAGGATAAAAAGAGACAGGGGCCGTTCAGTGGCTCAAAGATCAAGGTTTTGCTCTGAAGCACTCGAGATGCACTCCATTATTACATTAAATTCTTCTTTTTTTTTTTTTTTTTTTTTACTAATTTGAACCACTGTATTTTCCTCGCAATAATTAAATAAGCTAATCCTGACGGCCTAGTAATTATATTAAACAAAGATGCATATTTAATTTAATTAAAGCACAGTTTGTTTGCACATAGTAGCCCAAATGCCTACATTATTTGGCCTTAATCGATTTTATTTTCACCAGCACAGTTTAAGATAATGTCAGTAATAAACATTTTTACATAAAAATAATATAGGTTAATGGTATACGATGTAACTCCTGTTGTGTATCCCCATGTTCCGCCTGGATTCTGGCCTCCTGCCCATCTCCACTGAACGGAAATGTTGGCGGTTTCTGTGTCATGACCTGAAGTTTGGCATTATGCATGAACACATACCGGCAGCTCACAAGGAAAAATGCCTTTGTAAAAAATATCTATTAACGCCTGCCTCACTTGACTTACAAATCTGCCTGATTTATTTCCTGACATCTTAACCGCCTCTTATTGAACATTTAATAAACACCTGACACGGGAGCCGATAATTATGGGAACCCAGATCGCGTTACCCTTCCGATATTTCCACACAAAACACAATGTCTTTAGCTATTAATTAATACTGATCTCACTGAGTCTGCACTACAGACTGGTGTGTTTGTGTATCGCACCGTTTGGGGCTGGATTTAGACGCCAAAGCTATTGAATTATTGATTGGGAGCCTCGCCAGTAATGGAGGAGACAGAACTGGGAAACTGCTGCCCTACGATGGAACAGAGACACCGCCTGTCCTGTACCACTGTGGAGGACTGTGGTGTTGTGATTTTATTTGTACTCACTACAGAGTGAGGCCAAGTTCATTAGAGTGGTGATGTCACATCAACTATACTAATCAGACATTATTTACTCAATATTCTGTAGAATGTAGATAAAGTTTGGCAAGGCATTCAATTCTGTTGCAATAAAATGTAGATTTTTAAAAATGTTAATAGGTGTTGACAGATTAGAATCAAAGATGCTATTGAATACAACTGTATCACCATAAATTACTGGTAAGAAGTACATTGTGAGGACATTTCTGTACAGTTTGTAATGAAACAGAAATTTATGGGGGTATATTATTTTCGAGTAACATGTAGCCTAGCATCACCTGAATTATTCAAATCCATCAGGATGAAGCTTTGTATTGTGGTGTCAACTGATTTTTTAAAAATGTTTTTCCTTCCATATAAACTTCTCCATGATCATGGTCCAAAGTCATGTATCAGACAGTCAACTATCAGCATGTTTCTGAGGTGTTACTGTGGAGTGGAGGGCCTCAGCCCAGAGGGGGCCCAGGAGACAATGAGACTGGGGCACACAAGTGTTCTCCTGATTAGACATGGAGACGACCAGCGCACTCGCTCTCCTCTCAACACACTCTTAAGACACACAGCCCCACGCAGCCAGCCGGGAGCCAGCCTTGCATGCAGGCTCTCTCTCTCTCTCTCTCTCTCTCTCTCTCGCTCTGGCTTCTTCTCTGTCTTTTCCCTCTTGCTCGCCCCATGCTGTCCCACCATCTCTCTCTCTATCTCTCTTTATCTTGTATACTCTCTCTGTTTCTCTCTGTTGTAATGGATTATTGTATAACATGTTTAAGGAGGGAAAAGTGGGACAGTTTTTGTTCATCAAATGAATGAAAACAAAACTAGACGTGTATAAATCCAAATGCATGTAAGCAAAGACACCCCCCCCCCCCCCCCCCCCCCCCCACACACACATACTCACGCACGCATCATCCATAGCCTGCTGGTGAGTCACAACAGCACTCCACACCATGGAATCTTTCATATCAACTGGTGCTGTCTTGTTGCTATATTTACCCCACTACAACCCCAGAGACAAATACACTACTCTCTCATTTCCCGCACTTGGCCTTTTATCAAATTAGGGCACGTTAAACAATCGCACAGAGGAGTTTTTACTGACAGCTGCATGTGAATGGCTGTGGCTGAATGTGATTGTACACGGTTTGGATCCCTGCTTGAATTTATGTGAGAAAGTATGCAAGCTTTCTCTTCTCTTCTCTCCCTTTCTCTTCTCTCTGAGGGCTTGCCTTTGTTACATGTTAGGAGTGCTCAAAGAGCAGGGCGCACCAAAGACAACAGCCATCAGGAGCAACAGCAGATAAAAGAGCAACTTCAAAGACATCAAATGGAGCGAAAGTGAGAAAGAAACCTGCTGAAAAACTCTCTCCAATAGCACTCAGGCCGGCAATTAGGACGCCATATTGCTGCCTGTTATCATGCACCGTGCAGGCCTGGGTGGCTAACCGCAGCACTCGGTGTGGGTTGCAGTCAGCGGAGAATTGCAGCATTCACAGAGCTCGACTGTATTTAATTTCACTGTAGGATGAAAAAGTGGGTGTTCACACAGATTTGACCCCTGCTATGACCAGCGAGGCTTAACCATGGTGATTACAGACAAAGAAAAACAACAGTGTCTATCTCCAGCTCTCTTCTATTCAGCAGGCTGAAGTAGAACAAAACAAAACAGAGGTCAGAACAAAACAAGAAGTCTAATTGTTTCACTGTTTCCTGTTTAGGTGCCCCAGGGCAATCTACACATTTTTATGTACTGGGCGCATTTTATTTGTTATTAATTCATTTCCAGTTGCAGCTGGTTTGCAGATTAAGGAGATAACATAATGTATAACTCCCTGCCCTGGGAAGAAGACATAACAAGGGTGTACGTGTTGAGAACCTGTGGGCATTAGCAGCTCTGAGGGGGTTTTGTTGTTTGCCTGGACAAAAAGGGGTGACATTCGATGTCTTGTGAGTGCACTGGGGGGTGAGTTTGTGTGTGAATGTGTGCATTGTGGTTTCAGAGAAAACGAGGAACATGAAATGCTACAGAAAGAAAGAAAGAGAGAGAGAGAGAGAGTGATGTTAAACATTTGGCCCATTCCTGCGCTGTATTTACAAGCCAGTAAGATCCAATCATGTGTGTGCGAGTATAATCGAGTACTTGCTTTTCAATCATCAAATGTTTGTACACAGACTCTTAAATTACAAAAAGCCTCTTGGAAACACAGGCCCGACTCGTCTCATATTGATTGTGTTCACGCTGTCTGAAGTTTACAGAATGTCATTTTAAAAAATGTCACGAAACGACAAAAAAGCCGACAAATCACCCAATATTTGTATCAGGATGCTCAAGTGTCTTTTTAATGTGGGTAAATCCGGGGAGGTCCAGGATCATTCATTCTGGGGTTAAAGGCTTTTTCAACATTCTGTCTAGGGAACCATTTATGACCATTTATATATCTGTCAACCACATTCAATTGCTCTAGGAACTGGTGACAGACATGCGCGGTCAAAGCAAAGTTGAGCTGTGATGGAAAATAGCCCCTGGTTTTCAGTGTGAGCATCAATCACCTGCATACTGTAAATGTTATACTCATGAAGCCATTCATCTACATGTGTGTAAGTATGAAAATCAATACATCTTACTGATGTTAGAAAACATACAAATCCAACATAGATACGCTGCTTGTAATTTACGTCGAGGTTTTCCCTTTGGTTGCTGCTTACAAACACGTCATGACTTCATGAAAAATGTGTTGTGATTGTTTCAGAATGTGACCTAATGAAACAGTAAACATTAACTATGAGTTAGACTACATTTAATACATGAAACGGCCCTGAACTATTGGAAAATATTTACAAGACAAAGTGTATCAGGGGAGCATCAAAGTCAGCTTAAAAATGGCATATTTAACCTGTTGATGTTAAATTGAAGATTAGGATTTAGGCTTGTTGGATTTATTATTAGAGATGCACCAATTAGGTAGATCAGAGCCGATGCGATACCGATGTTTTAAATGACAACTTAACCGATTGGGATACCGATGTTTTTTTTTTTCATGACTTCTTTTGGTGTAAGGCACCCACAACATTTTTAACATTTTCTTTCACACTCTTCTTTGAATCAGTAGGTAGGTGTAGTACCGATGTCTGTCAACAGGGCTGAAATCAGCCGATACCGATGTTGAACCGATGCATCGGTGCATCCCTATCTAAAATAATATGAAAACTATTCTGTACTACCAATCTGTTTAAGTTAGTTTGAGATATACAGGGCAAAGTATGTCTTAAAGATCAGGTCACTTAACTTTGTGGTAGGCTATTTGTCAGAAAGGGGTTTACAGTATGCTGTCAAAAAAAGTTCTTGCTGTATAATGGAAGAGGAGAAGGGGAGAAAAATGAAAATAAAGGGAAAAAAAATATATAGCATAGCAAACGTGAGCTAAACATCCCTAAACTCTAGCCCCCCATGAAAAAAAATGAAAATAAAAATTGATAACATGCTATCTGTGGAAGATGAAGATAATCTATTTCAAGTTAACGTACTGATGACAGCTATTTTGTGTTCTATATGAGAAATCCTGACTTGTAATTTAAGCTGTTAAATATTTGCAGTTGTGTAAATAGCAGTATTTATTTCTTATTGTATTGCAGCAAGAGGCCAATGTTTAATTCACTGCTTTGCTTATAGAACAGAAGTGAACAGGACATCATGCTCGTGTTAATTTCACTGAAGCTTTATCATGGAACTGCCATCATTTCT